TTGTATCCAGAAGCTGCCCTGGCCGAGCCAATCTCCTGACATGAACCCCATCGAAAACCTCTGGGCCATACTCGACCGGCAAGTCAAGAAACACCAAAAAAAAACAACTTCGAAGAGGGATCTACTCCAAGTTTTGAAGCAAGAGTGGGCGAAAATCCCACAATCTGAAATTGATGAGATTATTCTTACGATGCCCCAAAGGATCAACAAACTCCACGAAGCAAAAGGAAGATCTACTAGATATTAATTAAATTATAAATATATCAATTGACGTGAATATGACTGAAAAATTTCATTTTTTCTGAAAAGGTGGTGTCTATTTACTTGTGACCACGCCCTGTATATATAAAATAAAATTTTTTCATCAACAATAAAATAATGAAATTCTATGAAACAGGAAGTATTTTTTATGCTTTTTTTTTCAAAATTTGTCTAAAAAATAATATAAATTATACAAAATTTTAAAGCTGAAATTAGATACTATTTAGCAACTTTATTCTATGTTTCATGCAATTTGGTTAAGTATTTCCACTGTGAGAAGGAAAAAAAAATCATAGAATATCAATAACACCTCTCAGTCCAGAAAGTGTCAAGATGCCAGCATTTTCCCTTAATTCTCACACTTAAAGTGATAAAATAGAGAATTCACATATTCAGTCATAGAGACATTTATTAAGAATTATATAAGTAATAAGAAAAACAAAGACAATTGCATGTTTCACAAAAACTTCATTTATTGACGACCATAGTTTTACCAGTAAAGGCATCATCAAGTATAGACTGGAATAGTTTGTAAACAGGTTTATATATAGTTTAAACATGGAACAAGAAATAATTTTGACATTTACCTTGAGCCAAGTGGGGTGAGAAGTGAGCTTAAGTTGATTTGGTCATTTAGAACTTTTTCTGGATTTGTTTTTAGGCTTCTATCTATTTCGAACACTCCAGGCTATCTAGTTTTTTTACATTTTCACAGATATATAAAAGTTTGCACTTCTTTTTCTGGATCAAACTAGTGCTTAGTTTCAATAAGATAGGATGCAAAGGTTGAAACCATTTTTCTTAATTTCCAACTTATAGAATGTTCTTTAATTCTCATATTTATGGAATATCCAGTTTGACCTATGTATACACTATTGCAGTCTTGACACATTAATTGGTAAATAGCACTGTTGCTGTATTTTTCTATTTTTGTCTGTTGTTGCACAACATTTTTCCTATGTTGTTTTTATATTAGAAGGCCAGTCTTTAGATTTCTTTATTCAGTGTGTTATATATTTGTGAGAAGGTTTATTAATGTAGCTTATCTTAAACTATTTTTTGTTTTTGTTATCATTTGTTGTTTGGTATAGTATGTGGGTATATTGATTTTAAGTTTTTGGCTTTTAATTTTTTAAACAAAAATGTGTCAATTAACTTTGTTGTATAACCATTGTTGGCTGCAATTCGTTTTATTGTTTTTAATTCAGTTTCATGATCTTCAGATGACAATAATACAGTGATAAGCCTGTGTAACAAACTATGGAACACAGCAAGTTTGTGAGATATTGGATGTCTTGAATAAGCTTATATGATGATGACAATATAAGTCAGTTTTCTGAAAATTTTAAAGGAATGTATGCCATTACTTAGGTCAATATTTAAGTCCCAAAAATTAACGTTTCCGTTTGCACCAAATTCCATAGCAAATTTAATAAATTTGTTTTGTGAATTTAGAAAAGTTACAAATTTTGGAGCTTGTTGAAACACAAAGAACATCATCAAAATATCTATACCAATATGATGTTATTACTGGTGAAACAATGGTCATGAATAAATGAAGTTTTTATGAAACATACAATGGTCTTTATTCTGTAATTATGGAGTTTCATCAAATACCAAAAGTTTCAAGTATCAATTATATAAAACAAGCAAGTACAGCAAGATTAACTGTCTTATACAAAAGATTGAAAATTAAACAGCGCTTAGCAACCCAACACTTTTGTTTCAACAACAAGTGTGTGATGTGGAATCTCACCCCAAAATACGTCTCACTAAGAACAATAACACTTCAAGTTCAGCCAAAAAACCTCTGGAATCAACAAAAAAAGACCTAGCTAAAAGAAGAGATCAAAAACTGTTTCAGTGTTAGGGACAATGTAAATGCACACCTCAAGATAATTCACAGTGAATTGTGTTTCCACCTTCACCCAGTAGAATTTGATTTATTGGGCAGAGGCATACATGAGAATGTAAGTCAGCTGATACACACTACTTAGTTGAACTAGAAAAGAAAACTGAATAATCTGATTATACGTGAAAACAGTTCAGTTCTAGTAGCAGACTGCCATTCAAGATTCCATCCTCAGTTAGTAAATTTTTTGAAATCCAAGATCACAAAAAATGAGTCTAATCAGCTTAGTAAAGCTTTAAAATCTCACATTTCATTTGTGTAACTTCTAAAATATCCTAAATACATTTCACGTGTTTGTTTCAGTAAAATTTTATATTTTATCTGTTATTTTCTCTACCCTGACTCAATACAAGTTTAGTCAATTCAAACCAAATCTAGCTACTAGTTGCACCATTATAAGTTGTAAATCACTCGAGGAATGTGCAGCTCACATTACACTACTGAATTACATTATCCACGATCTGCTCATGTGCGTGCCTCGTGAATCATTTTAATTATATTATTATTATTACATATTTTATCTAATCTAGTATTAAATAACTTTAAAAGATCTGTACT